GCTTGTGATACAATAGTGAATAATTGTTATCAGGACTGATTGTGAGGGTTGGAAATGTAAAGGCAGACGTTTTGTAGCAAGGAGGGGAGTGATTAACTTTACAGTCTAGGAGCGGAGGTCCCTGGGACCATAAAGGGAGAAAAGTGGAGAGCGGGACCCTACCCAGAGAAGCAGTGATGCCAGAGATGGAGGCAGAGACAATGATGTGGAGAGATGGAGCAGCTGGGGACTTCAGACTCAGAGAGGGAGAGGGTGCTGTGTGCTGATGACTGGGGGGCAGGTATATAGCCTGTGGTTGGTTGATGATGCATAGAGGGGATTGTAACCATGGCAAATGAAACAATATAGGATAGGGTGAATGTAAAACTAGTGTTCTCCCGTGTAAACTATCACATAATTCACAATAAAACATTTTTAAAAAACGAATATGTTGTTTGTTTCGATGTGTACATCGACTCTTTTGCTTTGTTCATTTGTGAAATGTAAGCTGTAAAGGGAAGCCACAGGGAGGAAGTGGGATCATTGTTGCTGAAGGGGGGAGGGGGGTTTGTAATCATTAAAATGAAGCAAAGCGTGTGATTTGTTAAATGTAATACTGAGGAGGACCCTAGTCTATAAACACTGACTTAACTCACAAAACAAAGTTAAAAAACAAAAGAAGGATCCCTGATACCTGGGGGGTCTTCACTCTCTGTGGACCACAGACCCATCTCAGAAAAAGTTTTTAAAGATATAAAATAAAGTATACATGATTACAAAGAAAACCAATCATACAGAAATGGAAGTTAACAAGATCATTAAAAACACAGGTGAGACGGTATTCATGACCAGGCAGGTGAATTTCTCCTGGGCCGCACGGAGCTTTGGATGCAGGTGTTTACAGAAAAGCTGAGAGTTAAGCGTCCGACTCATCCTTGCGCTGTGTCACGTATGGTAACTGGTTTAAACCTGTTTCATCTTAGGGCAACTCTCTGAGCCAGATCATTTTAAACCCATCTTACTTGTTATTTTCATTGCTGTTGTTATTAAGTACCATCAAGTCAGGACTTTCTTGATTTTCTTCAAGATAATCTTGGGAGGAGAAGGAAGTAGGTAGAAATATTGATGAGATGAGTTGATAACTGTCTAAATCATATGATAATAGGTTGTTGTTGTGAAGTACTGTTGAATCAATTCTGACCCACAGCCACCCTGTACCGGGTTTCCAAGGAGCGGCTGGTAAGTTTGAACCATGAACCTTGTGGTGCAAACCAACCCTAGGATCGAGTGCTTATCCCACAAGTGACATATTAGGACTCCTTTTCCATGAATATTTCGAAGCCCCCTCATACAACAACCCTAACGCGATGGTGATAGGTTGTTTTTAAGTGTTTTCGAGTCAGTTCTGACCCACAGCGACCCTGTGTAGGGTTTCTGAGGAGTAGCTAGTGGACTTCAACTGCTGACCTTGTGACTGGAAGTCCAGAGCTGATCCCACAGCACCACACAAGTATTTAATTAAAAGAACTCCGCCAAAAATGCAAATGAAAACTACAATAAGATACTATATACTATGCTGTTGTTAAGTGTTGTCAAGTGGGGTCAGACCGATGGAGACCCTCTATAGGGCTTTTTTTTTAATGTTTTATTGTGAATTATGTGATAGTTTACATGGGAGAACATCAGTCTTACATTCATTCTATCGTATATCGTCTCATTGCCATGGTTACAATCCCCTCCATGCAATCCTTCGCCCGTACCCCCCAGGTCTTCAGCACACAGCCCCTCTCCCTCTCTGGATCTACAGTCTCCAGCTGCCCCATCGCTCCACGTCATCATCTCTGGCTCCATTTCAGCATCACTGCTTCTCTGGGTAGGGTCCCGCTCTCTGCTCTTCTCCCTTGATGATCCTAGGGACTCTATAGGGCTTTTGAGGAGTGGCTGGTGAGCTTAAACTACTAACCTTGAGGTTCAAACCAACTTTACAGTCCAACACATTTACCAACAGCGCCACACCAGGGCTAAACTGTGCCCCTACGAAAATCTCTAGAATTAAGAGACCAACTATCCAAAAAGTGTTAGTGGGGATGCGGAACAACTGGGCCACATATACATTGATGGCGGGAGTGTAAAATAATACAACCACAACCACTTGGGAAAACAGCGTGGCAGTGAAAAGCTAGACATACATACCATATGGATCTAACCCTTCTATTTGTGGGTATTCACCCAAGAAAAATCAAAGTACATGCCTACACAAAGAGTTGTTTAACAAATGTCTACAGCAGTTCTATTTGTAATCACCAACACCTAAAAACAATCCCAAATCCCAATGGATATCAACAATTGAAAGGATAAACAAATTGTTTTATATCCATCTAATAGTGGCCCTGTAAGATCAGCGCTGGACTTTAAACCATAACGCCATCAGTTCAAGCCTACCAGTTGCTCCTTGGAAACCCAATATAGGGTTGCTATGAGTTGAAACTGACTTGATGGCACTTAACAAGGACGAAGGTACACTAGAGGCATGGTATGGCACTCTGAGATAAGCACTGGACTGCTAATCGCAAGATCGGCAATTCAAACCCACCGACTGCTCCTCAGAAACCCTATACAGGGTCGCTACAAGTAGGAATTGACTCAAAGATACTTAACCACCACAATGGAATATTATTCTAAAAGGAAACAGAATGAACTATCTGTCCATGCACCCACATGGATGCATCACAAAATAAGATTGGCTGAAAGCTAGAGAGAAAAAGGAGTGTGTACTGCATGACTTCACTTACGTAGAAATTTTTAAAAGGCACGTTTTCTGTAGGCACCAAAAGCAGACTCTTCATCGCTGATGCACTAAATGGTGAGGTACACAGGAAGTACTAAGTGGCACAAGGTCACATTGGGGACAACGGGTATTGTAACCGATGAAACTGCGTCCCCCAAAAATATGTACTGAAGGACTGTTCCTCTACCTAGGATGTGGTCCGCTTTGCCATACCCAAGGAGAATGGGTCCTAAAACTCATCACCTCTGAGTTTAAAAAAAAAAAAAAAACTCCAACTGCAAAATGGACCCAAACAGAGCCACACACAGGGAAAGACGCCAAATGAAGACAAACACACACAGAAATAACACACATACAAGCCAGGACGCATAGGAATGCCAAGAATGGCTGGAAGCTACGAGAAATTTAAGTCAATAAAGAAGGACCCCTAGAGCTATATCCTGAGTTTGGACTTCTAAGTCTCATGAGCCAGGAAATAAACTTGCATTCTTAAAAGAAAAAAAAAAAAAAAAGTGATCTGATATTATCATATGTAATAACTAGATTTAAAAAAACAGAAATGACATTGAGTTTTTTTCCCATTTCACATGACAGTTATTGCAGATATCTGCATCTTCGATTAGTGACAAAACCACCCATTCTGCTTATTAGACTATGATTTGCTGCTTTCAGAATGCTCATTTTCAGTTACAGGTTAGTGTAAAAGGTTTTCTTTTTTTTTTCCATCCAAGTTTAGACCCTGTTTCCTACCAATGAGAATGGAGGAATCCTCTCCTATGCCCTTTCTCCTGCATGCTGCCGAGGACGAGAATGCGATGGCTGGAGCTGAAACAGCCGTCTTGGACTACGAGGCAGGACAGAAACTGAGTCCAGGCCTTGAGGACCATGGGGCCACAAACCAGCCTGCCTATCTCTGGACAAGGAGATAAATGTCTCCAATGTGAAGCCTCTGCTGGCATGTTCCCTGGTATAGAGAGCCCTCTGAACCCAAGCAGAACTGTTTGCTGTATCTCTAATACAGAAGTTTTTGGAAACAGTTTGAACTGGATCAGTAGCGACCTATATTCATCTGTGAGAGACACGCTCTTCATTACTTACAAAACAAGACTCTCCCAGAGTTATAAAATGAAAGAACCGGAACAATTCCTCTATAACCCACTACCCTGCAGGAAGCAAATTCTCAAACCTTCAACAATGAGAAGCTTCCCTTGCAACTAAAGGCTGCTCCATCCGTGATGTGCACATGGCCCAGTACCACATGTGAGCACATGGTTCAGGAGGGTCATGTCTACAACCCACATGTTATGTTAAGCACAGTCTCCACATCCCCCAGGCACGTGGGGCCAAGCACACAGGCTCGGGAAGTACTTACTGATCGTCATGGACTCTGGCACCGAAGCAGCAGGCAGTAGGCTGCTCCGAGGGCTTCCTTGGCCGGGGGGACTGGCTTCCACACTGGGGAAAGGCAGAAGCAACACTCAGCCATTTACAATGTTCACAGGATGGGGTGGGTTGGCGACGTACAGTCAGGGGCAGCTGCTAGAAGGAATGGAGGCCAGCCACTGCAAATTTTCTTTCCAAAGAGTTTGCAACATGGAAGAAGCGAAAACATCATGTAATGTCTGTTGTGAGGACAGCTTGCACGCATACGTGACTAGGAGGCAAAGTCCCAAACATTGACGAGGTGATGAAGTTAAGCATTAAAGATGAGGTATTTTGTTTGTTTGCATTTTCATTCACCACAGCATGTTTTGAAAATTCTCTAACATAAACTGCAGAGGACTTAGAGCTGAGGGTGAGTCAGGTGACTCTATATGGGCTGGGACAAGCCTCACACCAGCGGCATCATTTTCAGAGGGCAAGACCACACCACCAAGCACAGTTTGGGATAGTCGGTAACTCCCAACCTAGAGCTAAGGTTAAAATGCAACTGTGGTGTTAAACCCTGAATGAACCCATAAAAAGGAAGGGGAAGGGAAAAAAAAAAAAAAGAATAAAACAGTAAGAGCCAACAAAGATCATGGTGGGATGGGGGAGACTAAGGAGTTTGGGTGGCTCGGCTGTGACCCTTCGGTGTGAGGAATAAAGACAACATGCTACACAAACTATTCTCACATTCCAGATAGGGCACCAAGCACTTCACAAATAGTCTACCCCATCCACGTGGCCTACAAATGTGAAGCAGAAGTATTAACTCGTCCAAGAAGCCTCGTGACCCTACTACTCTCCTAGTAATAACTGACTGGTGAAGAAACCGAGGCACAAAGAGGCTATAACTTGCCCAAGGTTACTCAGCAAATGGGCAAGTTGGATTTGGACCCAGAACCCATGGTCTCCAGTACGTGGCTTTAAGCTTCCCTGTAGACGACAGACACCCAAGCTGCTATTTCCCAAGTGTGTCCAGTGACAGACACTAAACCCCATAATCCTCTCTTTCAAGGCTCACAACATGAGGCTCGCAGACATACTGCCTCATTCTACAAAAGGAAACTGAAGTCTGGAGCAGGGGTGGTGGCAAACTACAGCCCAGAGGCCAAATCCAGGTCACCACCTGCTTTTATGAATAAAGTTTTCTTGGAACAGCCATGTCCACTCATTTTTGTATATTGTCTAGAGCTGCTTTGGAGTCCTGATGTGGTGCTATAGAATAAGCACTTGGCCACAACCTCAAGGCAGTGGTTCAAACTCACCAGCAGCTTTCGGAAACCCTATATAAGGTTGTTATGGGTCAACAGCACTTAATAACAATAAGGGCTGCTTTGATGCTGAGCAGGTGGAACAGAGATCATGTGACCCGCAAAGTCTAAAGGATTCGCTGTCTGCCAACCTCTGGTTGAAACTGATGAAGGAACTTGCTCCAACTCAAAGAATGGTAAAAGTAAAAGAAATTATAATCCATTTCAGAAACTGCAAGGACGTTTATATGACAACATTGGGCTACCTGCTCATTTTCAATCTTCTTTTTGTCTTTCAATAAGGTCACCCAAAAAGTCTCATTTTAACACCAATGCATCTTTTCCTCTTCTTCAGCAGGTAACACTTGTTGCTGTTAAGTGCCGTCGAGTCGGTTCTGACCCATAGCAACCCTGTATAGGGTTTCCAAGGAGTAGCTGGTGAGTTTGAACTACCAACCTTGCGGTCCAGCGCCACAGACTAGAACTTAGTGAACTGTCACTTTCATGTATGAGTAGTAGTTCTCAAGGTGACTGGATTTTAGCCCTGAAGGGACACTGGCTAGTGTCTGCAGACATGTGTGGTTATCACAACTGCGGGTGGGGAGCTACAGGCACCTAGAAGGTAGAGGCCAGGATGCGAACACCCTATAGTGCACAGGACAGCCCCCCCGCCCCACAGACCAATCTGGCTCCAAATGCGGTAGTAATAATGCTACCACAGACAAACCCCGGCCCGTTTCCCCACTGCCTTTGAGTTACGCCAGGGGCACTGGTTTTCTATCCAGTGCAGTGACAAAGTGCCCCTTCTAAATCAATGCATTTAGAGGGTCTTTTGCATGTAATAAATCAATGAAAAGGAGCAAACCAGGCTGATGATGAGAGAGGAGGTGCCCAGACATGGCAGGTAAAGTCTGAGGCTGAGCCTTGTCTGTTCTACGACATCAGACCACTCACATTCTGTGACTTCACGTTTGTGAAAGGTCAGTGAGAAGGGAGGACTTGCCCTCTAGTCTAGCCTTAAAAAGGCAAGAAATGCACAGTTTAAAAGGAGCACTTCCATTCCAAAGGGAAGGTGGTTTTCACACTGACCTGTAGCCACACCCAGGCTCCATGAGAACGTGCTCTTCAGGGCCTGTCCCATTCTCCAGGCTTCCAACGGGGGCATCTGGGACACAGAGACAAAAGCACATGTTCTCATTGCATGTTCAACATGAAACAAGTGGGGCCAAGGCTGCCGAGTAGGATTTTACTCTGTGGCCCATTTCAGCTTTCTGCCATCATCTACGATTTGGCATCAGGCACTTAAAAAAGAACTCTCCTCATGTTTAAACTACAAACTTTTTAACCTTAAGCCACCCTGAACAGCATGACCGACCAAAGTCCATATTCAGCGCCAATCTCAGACTCCGGAGTAAAATCTGAGACAAAAAACTTTTCTTGCCTGTCATAGCTTGAGTAGGACACTAGAGGGCAGCACCGCCCAGTGGCTGACAGCATCAAAACCAAGTCACTTTCCAAGAGGCCTTGAATTAAATGGTATCTGAGAAAGGCACTCTCCAGAAAGGAGGCTATAAATAATTCTATAGTCAACAGGCTTGCGGAGCATTAACCACTCCTATCAAGGTACCAGCCGCTGTCCAACCACCTCCCAGGAAAAGTGCAATCCACGCCTCAGGTGCAGCGTGACATCAACTAAGACCAAGAACCCCCAGAAGAAAGACCAGAGACCAAGGAGCAGGTCTGGCTGTTCCCAGACTTGGCCCTCTGCCCCCCTCAGTCTCTCCTCACTTGGTTTACAATTAGGCTCAAGATTCAACCCAGCAGGGGACACGAGCTTCACCCTGTCCTCTCCCCAGCTGGTCCACTCACTCCTAACCCTTCTAAGAAGCTACAAAGGTTGAACCCAGCAGTGTCTGCCTCCCCCGACTCACAGTCTTGGGCTAAATTCCAGGGTGCAGGATGTCTACCTGACCAAGTCCCTGCTCTCCTACTCTGAGCAAGTTACTAGCCTCACCTTGGCTCAGCTTCCCCATCCATGAAAGGGATGTGCCTAGCAAACAGCGCTGTAACAACGCTCATTTCATTCATGTAAAACACTGAGCGGTGGTTAGCATCAACCTGTTCCAATGCAGACTTTCATCCTGCAGGGACTGGGGTTGCTCTCAGGCCCCCATCCACCTTCCCATGTCTGTGACAAACTCAAACAAAGTCTCCCCCTCAGCCTTTGTAACCCTCTTCCTGCCCACCCATCCAGCAATCCCATCCCATGGAGAAGGTACCCACAGGTCACACCAGCTCTTCGTTTCTGGGCAAGGTCTTGGATCCCATTCTCCCCTCTGTGAGGATGCCAATCCCCAAGCTCTCACTCTGGCTATGACCTTGGTCTAGGTTCTAGCATTACTTTTCTGTCTACTACAAACGCTGTACGAGGTATCCTACTGGGCTGACCAACTGACAAGTGCTTCAGAGCTGTTCTTCTGGTACTGCCATCTCCCACTGGTCTCAGTGCAGACCCCTTGGGCTCCACCTGTCAGTTCCCCTCAGGTTCCTCATGCTCCAGGCCCTCCCGTTTCCTCGGCCTCTTGGCTCTGAGACGCACTGCCCTCTATGGAGTCTTTGCAGCAGGGACCCCGCTTCTCCAGTCTGACTCACACAGGGTGCCAGGTTCCAATCCCTGGACACACTGCAGAAATAGCCTCCAGACATTAGAGGTGCTAGGTCTACTCAGCTCTGGCTGATTTCCTAGCAGCCCCTCTGTAATCCACCAGTATGGCCTGCTTGGGGTACACGGGACCTTGCAGAGGTACAAACAGTCACTCCCTCTCAATGTCTCCATGAGGGAGGGTCTTAGCAACTGCACCTTAGAGATGAGGAAACAGACCCAGAGAATTTCGGGTACTGGGCCACAATCACCCAGCTCACAAGCCGGGATTTGAACCCTGGTCCAAATTAGAACCCCTTGCTCTTGTGGCCACAGGTCCATGGCACTCCTCTGTTCACACTATGTCCTTCTCTCCTCCTAGCGTGTTGTCCCCTCGTCCATCCTATGGTGCTCACTGGTCAGGGACACTGGAAGCATGGACCTTGTGAGTCACAGACGGACACAAACTTGCAATCACAGTCAGGGACCCTGAAGACACCCACATCAACACGCTGTGTGAGCAGGAGGTCTGGTCTGGCTGCAGAGGGTCAGGGCGCACCCAGGGTGCAGAGAACCGGAAGTGAGCTTGAGGAGCGAGAGGGCAAGGCTTAGCTTCAGGAAGTGGAAGCCACCAACATGACGGTCACAGAGCCCAGGAGAACTAGGAAGAGGAGAGGCTGGAGGGTTCGCTGGAACCACAGCAGCCACAGCAAAGATTCTGGGTTTTCTCCTAAGGGCAATGGGAGGGTCTGGAACAGGAAATGATGCAATCTGATTTGTATTCTACAGGATCACTCTGGCTGCCAATCGGACAAGGCCGAAGTGACAGGCAAGGGCAGAAGGGGGCAGGTGTAGAGGGGATTTGGGTCACCATCCAGACAAGAGATAAGGATGAATTAGAACAGGACCATGGAGGCATTCGGAGTATACCATAACCAGCCATTCCTTTCTCCTCCCATCAGTTAAAGTAACATCCCCTCCTTGCATGTGAACACCCATCAGGAGTTACTTCTGACCTCTCAGTATCAAGCACTGAGCAGAAATGCCCACTGATTTAATAAAGAAAAATGTGACTCCGAAACCTTAACATTCAAAATCATCCTATGAGAGCCGAACTCTAAAATCACAGCAAGAGATGACAGCAGGGCTGCCAGAGCTCCTCCTGAGCCGGACAGCTCCAAAACCCAGCGGCAGGATAAATGGGGCTCAAGAGTTTAGACTTGATGGGGAAATCCAGGGACTGAGGGTCGGAGGTTTCAAACAGACCTGAGATCCCTCAGAAAGAGCAGGCTCTGCATGAGTTCAAAGTCCCAAGGTGGTACTTGGGGCTAATGCGTTGGACTGCAACGTTGGTTTGAACCCCAAGGTCAGCTGTTCAAGCAGCCACTCTTGGGAAACTCAATAGAGTGTCACTATGGGTTGGAACCGACTCGACAGCACTTAACAACAAAAGCCAACACAGGACCCTCTGAGACTAAGCCAGCTGTGACATATACATATCTCAAATAAGTCTCCCAGTCAGCTGCAACTCAGCATGGCTTCATCTACATCAGGACTAAACACTGCCAGTCCAGCGGTAACCTTGTGATCCCTGCTCTGAGAGTCCGCAGTTGTAGCTCGGGTGTCAGCCCCTCTCTTGAAGGGTCTCCTGTTTTTTGCCGACCCTCTGTTTATCAAAAGAAGCCCTAGTGGTGCAGTACATAAAGCAATGGGCTGCTAATCACAGGTCGTTAGTTCAAACCCACCAGCCACTCCTCGGGAGAAACCTAGGGCAATCTGCCCCCATAAAGATTTAGTCTCAGAAACCTTACAGAGCTATTCTACGCTGTAATTAATATAGGGTCACTGTGCATGGAAATCCACTCAACAGTGAGTTTGGGTTTGGTGTTTGTTTTCTGTCCAGTCTTCCCCCAGCTTGGCCAGATTTCATGATGTGACCCTGGGTTGGTGCACTCCTTCAGCCAGTCCTTCTCTAACCCCAGAAATGGGGCTCTAGACAAAGGGCAGAGTTCCTCCACCTGTGCCCTGCATCCCCTTCTCTGTGGCTTACTCTCTCCCAGGACTTAGCCACGAAACACATGCTCCTAGACCTGGCTGTCACTTCCCTTTTTCTCTCCATCCATCCCCCATTCCTCTCCTCACCCTCAACGGCAGGAACTGTGTGTGACGGCTCCACTGTTGTCCAAGAGGACTGAAGTCTCCCCAGGCCTGTGTGTGGAAAACCGAAACTGGCTGCTGTGGAACTGATTGTGACTCAGAGCAACCTTCTAGGACAGAGGAGAACTGCCCCAAAGGGTTTCCAACGCTGTTATCTTTACGGAAGCAAACTGCCACACTTTCTCCCATGGAGTGGCTGAGAGATTCCAACAGCCAAGCTTTTGGTTAGCAGCCAACCACTTCCCCACTGAATCACCAGGACCCATTAGAGAGTTTAGTCTAAACCCAAAAGACCCCACAGCTATTGTGACTCGTGGAGACCCTACAGGACAGAGGGCTGGACATCTTTACAGAAGTACACTGCCACGTCTTTCTCCCGCCGAGCAGAGGGTGGGTGCAAAGTCCCCATGAAGGAGATAGAATGGCTTCCCAGCCAGAAAGACAGAGAAGTGTGAACATCACACAGCAGGAACATGTCAGCAGACAGATGGGACACACATCAGCTCTGGAGTGGGGTGGCATGACAGCACCTTCCCCAGGGGAGACGCCCTCCTGGGCAATGGGCCATCAGCTCAGGAGCGTCTGCAGGTGACAGCCCCGCCTTATAGGGGTGGAAGTGCTGGGAAGGGGGATAAGAACAATGGCAGAGCCAGTCTCCATTCAGAAGCTCCCCAGCTCCTGGGTCTGCCACAGCCCACACAACATGCAGCTGACAGGAATCTCTGACAGGACTGTCCCCAGGGTAAATGGTGGAACCTCCACCACATCCGGTGAGGAGGGACATCACCGAGCGGTGGTGAGGCCAGCTCACTTACTCAGGACCCGGTCACTGTCATAACCACATCCCACTTTCTAGAGAAGGAGGCAGACTGACGGACGAGAAGAGCCTTAGCCACACGCTCCAATTAGCCTCATTTTGTTGCAGAAACAGCAACATGAGCACTAGCAGGTCTGGGCTCACTCCACCTTCCAGGGACTGGATCTGAGCCCACAATCCACTGCTGCCAGTAAATGCCCCCCCACGCCGTCTCTTTGTGTGAGTTTGTCTGAGTGCTTTTCTGCTCCCTGCCAACCAACAAGTGCAGCATAGCACTCAATTCTGGGTTGCCACAGCTTTCTTGAATTGCATGGGTCCCAGTTACAACCTCCAAAATCTGGGCCCCAGGCGAGGTCTGCTTCCTAGGATGGTGAGGAGGGCATCGGCTCTGACCAGGGTGCTATGGGGGCAGTGAGTGGGGCTGAGCGCTTCTCTGAGCTAAGGCCCAGCGGGGCTCACCCTCAGCCCCTGGGCCCTACTCTAGCTAAAGGAAACTCGTGTGTGGAATGAGGTACAGAGGCATTTACTCATCACCAGGGCAGGTTTTAACCCAGCGCCTCCCTGCTCCTAGCACCTTTCTGCCTCCCTTTTCTGCAAAGGGTGCAGGGCCATTGTGGCTCTGAGCTTAGGGACCAGGTCCACTCTCACAGGCAAATAGAGTGGGCACTATTTATGGACCATTTCGCAGGACCAAGTGCAGCTCGCTACCAGGGAGAGCGACAGGCCTGAGGCTCCCAAGTGACTTGGCGGATGCTTCAGCTCAACACTCACTGGGCTGAGAGCCCCTCACACACAGAGGTTCAGCAGGAAAGGCGCTAAACCCTCTTACTTCAGAATCCCAACAACCCCCTGGCCTTAAGCTGCAGTGTCTGTCCTGGGCTACATCAGACAGACCTGAAGTTCTCAGCCGGCCCACCCATTCAAGGAAGAGAGCAATGAGGGTACACCCACCTGCTGGGTCGTAAGCGCCCCCTCCACCAACGCTGACCGGAAAGAGGACATCGGTGTCACCTTGTAGGACCTGCAGTGGGGCCCAGTTGTGCATCGGTGAGAGGCAGGTGTTCCCATGTAGAGGCCTGCAGTGAGAGAAAACAGCAGCATGAGAGGGTGAGGTACCCCCAGGATCTCCACAGACTCCCCTCTAGGGAACTCAGAGTGAGGAGGCCCCAAGCTGGACTCCCGGAGTATCGAATCGAGACCTGGACCCAGGGGATAACAGAGCAAGCAGTCTGTGTCCTGCCCGCATAGGACTTACAGTCCGCTGGGGGAGACGGACATGGCAGCTCAGCGTGAAGCATGCCCGAGTGGAACGGAAAGCACTGAGCTAGACAGTGGGAGTCGAGAAGGGCTTCCTGGAAAATGTGAGCGGTGGGCTGAGCATGGGAGAAAGCACAAGAGTAAACATGTGAAGATGGGAGGGGTGGAAGGGCTCAGGCACAACACAGGCTCTCTGGCTCCAGGTTCTGTAACAAACCGAGCCAACACTGGCATAAAGATTAAGGCAGGAGAGGCATGAATTTCCCTCAGCCATCAAAGACGTGACTCCACTGCCAGAGAACACAGGCACAAACGCCACTTGGGGTCAACAGAGACCACCGTCATGTCGAAATGAGCATGTTCTGACTCAGACACAGACTCTGACCACCCCACGTGTGCTTCCGGCCTGGCCACATGCCCCTGCCAAGCCTGGCTGCGCAGTTAAACTGCAGAGGTTCTAGGCCTGGCATAGACTCAAAAGGAAAGCATTACTCAGTAGGCCATCTCATCATCCCTCTGCTCTTCCTTCAGGATGCTTTGAAGAATGCACAATTGGGTCCCCTCTAGGTCGGGACAGGCTGTCCTGAGTCCCAGGGAGGCCCGGTGGTTTACAGGGCCTGAGGCCCCACAAGGTCACATTGCACTGTCTTCTGCTTGACACATCACAATACCAGTGGCTACCTGGGCTCACCGGCTGGCCTCTCTCTTCAGTCTCCCCTCTCAGGGTACCAAATGAAGGAGGGACCACTGTGTTTGAGGCCAAAGACCCCATACAGTGAAACAGCCAGAGAACGCAGGGGACTTTTCCTACAAGGTTCAGATTAGGAATTAAGGTAGCTCAGAAGACATTGTGGTGGTGGTGGGGGTGGTGATGGTGGTGATGG